TAATATTTTGGAGTGCTATATAATATTTTGAGGTGTTACATAACCATACGCATATGCTATATGTAATTGTTCATTATTTTCACCATATCCACCGTGTATATCCAGTAACGCCGGAATGTGAAAATAATGCACGATTCGTGCGATAAGTAACGCAGAATAGTGCAATAAATAGCGGATATCTGACAGGATTTCCAACGCGATATGTAAACTGGCCAATATATTTTTTATTTAACCGAACTGATTATCAATATAGTTCCTTATAGTGCCCATTAGGGTCGTAATACCTTAAGTTCACTATTGCCTTGGATGTTTGTTCAAATCGAAAATGAAATTATTAAAACTATTAAATTCTTTCTTTTGCACGTCCTTGGTTTTATCCTAAAACTAACAACGGCAAAATCTGTCTTTCTGCAACCTTGTAACGCAAGGTTAACTGCTTCAGAACTCCTTTCTTAAGTTCATGGATTCAGAAACATTTTATTGGAATAAAACATTTAAGTGAAGAATGATAATAATTCAGTTATGATAAAAAGTTTACCTATTCAATGCAAAGAAAATGTTCAAGTTTCAGACAATGGGAATTAAATGAAAATTCTGTTTTGCATTTTCGATAAACTGCATACAAATTGAAGTCATTTACTTTAGATGTGAAAAAACAGAACAGAAAATCTACAGGGTGAATAAAAATCTTATAACAAGCTTTTAACATCAAAGGGAAGTTATATCTTGAAATAAAGGTGACAAATTATTTGAGTATTTTTAAGTATAAGCAAGGTACATGACGTCAGCCACAAGAAGAAACGGTGAGAACACCGGAACTGTTCAGCATGATCCTATTAAAGATAAATTAAAGAAGATTGATAACGGTTTTAAGTAATAATTACAACTGTCAAATTTTTCTAACCTTTTGCAGCGTACAGTTATCTTATCGTACCAAAACCCATCGTGCATATTGATTTTTGGACAACAAGTCGTCAATAAATATCTTTGCACAAAAGCATTTGCTATGCCATGCTTTAATAAGTATTTAAGTAAGTTGCAAGGAGAACTTACATTCACAATATGAGCTCTGATCTTATCATATTTTCTACATCGACACAAAAAATCAATTCCAGTCAATTTACCTTCAATATCCTTTTCACCATTGTTTCGAGATAATACGTGTAGGTCTGAGCCCCACTTGATCCACGTAAAATTTGCGATTTGATAGTAAATGACTCTAGCAATTTTATAAAATATATCCGCGCTGATGGGTGTCAACATGCTAAAATTCCCTATTACTCCGTATCGTACCTTTTCACCTCGCTTAAAAAAGTATCTTACATTTAACGTTTTATTATATTTTGATTAAATTTTTTCAGTTTGACCGACAATTTCTGTGATGCACTATTTCATGATTTATTGATGTGATACAAACTTGAACTGTGATTTTAATGTGATACAAACTTGGACTGTGATATATTGTGATCTCAACTAAATTATTGCAATTTAAGCCTTATCAGTAAAAGAACTTATTTCAATTTCATACAAATTAACATGACTTTCTGTGTCATGCCTCCAATGTCAGGGACCACAATGGAAATAAGAGGAATCCTTTCCTCTTTTTTGTGTTGTCCCTGGTATTGGTGGGCACTTCATGGCTCATATATTTATATTTTGTCGTATACTTATGTCATGTGATATTTCTAGTCTCTTTAATATTTTGATTATTGTTATATGTATTGTATCATTATGCATCATTATGTCATTGCCATGTCATGTACACTTTTACCGAATAAAATTATTATTATTATTATTATTATTACCTCTATACGTTCGACACCACCCTAAAAATAATAATAGACTGAACCATGAAAATTAACGGTAGTGAAATTCACTCATCTGATAATTCGAATTGGACAGATTAGAGCCGTGTGGAGATTTATACACTAGGAAAGTATTCCCATAAACAGATCTCAACATTGCCAACAGCAAAAGAAACATGTGATATATTGAATCGAATGTATTTGATTCAAATGACTTTGCATTGAATAGATCAGTTTATATTAGAGTAAAAACTATTCCCGCCAATATTAAATCGCATCGTCGTGTTGCTGTGCGGCGACATCGCAATGCCAAAGGCGAAAACATAATGTTACATGACAGGGCCATGTCATTTCACTTGCAGTCATTGAGGATTCTATCTTTACAGACATTTTACAAAAATAAAATATATTAAAAAACGCCCGCATGAATCCACCTTCAAATTGCGGTTAATAACTACACGGTGCATATCCATATCGGTACCCTCTTTGCGAAATCTGCTCAAACGGTACCCTCTCTGAACATGCACAGGTCATTCTCTGCTAAAAACAAACCAGCGATAGATACCAATCCAGTTAAATTTCATTGTAATAAGGAAAGGAGGTATGTCACGTAGAAAAGATGTATACCACGGAACCACTAGGATGTTTTATTTATGTGCTGATTTGTCATGTGCCCGATTTTCATGTACTGCAACTTCACAATAAGCTACAAAAAATCGACTAGTCTTGCTTCGCCCATCACCTCGACATATTTTTCGGGCTGAAATGAACCTGTGGCTTGATTATATATGCATCATACATATTTAATATGTTCATATACATATCATCTTCGGACAAATGGCAGTATAATGTCAAAAATAAATGTAAAATTCATAAAAACACCCTACTTTCGGCTGCAAAACCGAAAGTAGGGTGTTTTTATGAATTTTACATTTATTTTTGACATTATACTGCCATTTGTCCGAAGATGATATGTATATGAACATATTAAATATGTATGATGCATATATAATCAAGTCACAGGTTCATTTCAGCCCGAAAAATATGTCGAGGTGATGGGCGAAGCAAGACTAGTCGATTTTTTGTAGCTTATTGTGAAGTTGCAGTACTTGAAAATCGGGCACATGACAGATCAGCACATAAATAAAACATCCTAGTGTTCCGTGGAACACATCTTCTCTACGTGACATACCTCCTTTCCTTATTACAATGAAATTTTACTAGCTTGGTATCTATCGCTGGTTTGTTTTTAGCAGAGAATGACCTGTGCATGTTCAGAGAGGGTACCGTTTGAGCAGATTTCGCAAAGAGGGTACCGATATGGATATGCACCGTGAACTAGAGTAGTTCTATTTTTAAAGACCCAGTAACAACGCAGTGACACGATTTCCGTAGAATGTACAAACTTTACAAGGTCTTCAAATTATTAGAATATGCTGTGCAATTTTTGTAACTGGATTGTCTATGTTTTCCCAAAGACATATAAAATTAGCTCATTGGCTTTGCTTTTGTATTGATGTGGGCATTTTGACCGCCCGCTATAGACACCTCCGAATAACACTTACAGGGGCAAAGTGTTCGCTTTAACGAAAGTTACCGCGATGGCGACCATCAGTTTGACTATGGTTGAACCTAGACTCGTCTGATATAGGTCTTTGTTCTAATCTAGGCTAGTCCAGTGACGATGAGCACGTACAATCGAATACGTACCGAGCAATGGCGTAAAGTCAGCATGTCACCTGTATCAAGGCGAATTGCTCTAATTGGGCGGTTGATTTGGTATAGTTAGTGAACAAACATTATGCAGGTGCTATTTACAACATCTGATTATATAATTTTGAATCACTAGTCCTTCATTGCTTTTGGCTCAGTCCATGTCACAGCTTTGAATACTTTTCATGTGAGAAGTGCACAATAGAGGGACATATTTTTTATTTGTTTTGAAGTGACAATGGCACTGAAAATGGCATATGATGATTTTCTAAGGAATACTTCTGGTGACCTTACATGGCTTAGAATAGACACATCAGGCATTGTAGAAGTACCACTGAGATTCCGTTGGCTTGCTTCATTTAATCAAATAGCAGACGTTTCTGTCCAGTAATGAACAAACATACGGCATTCTTGCATGCCCAATATAAACAATAATATATTTAAGTTATTCTGCAGAAGCCAGTAATTTATAAGAGACAACAAGGAAGAACTTACAATATGAGTTGCATCAAAGAACAAGAGCACCGCTAGGCGGAGCATTATATGCACGAAAAGGAAATATAAAGGTCATTTGTTACTGACCTATGACCTTGTGACCCTAAATATAGATCTTTTATTCAATATAGGCAATCATCTTATGAAGTTTGAATATTGTGGGCCAAATGGAACAGAAGTTATGCTCCGGAAACACAATTTTTTAGTGTTAAGGTCATTGTGACCCTGACCTTTGACCCTAAAATCAATAGGGGTCATGTATTGGACATGGCTGTTCATCCTTTAAAATTGAACATGCTGTAGGTTGATTAACACTCGAGCTATTGAGCAAAAACCTTTTTCAGTTTTAAGGTAAGTGACCTTGAGCTTCGACCTTGTGACCCAAAAATTAATAGGGGCCTTCTACTCAATATAGACAATCATCCTATGAAGTTTGAATATTGTGGGCCAAATGGAAGTTAAGTTATGCTCCGGAAACCAAATGCTAAGTGACGTACGGACGGAGACGGACGGACTGACGCCAGAGGGTATAACATAATATGCCAAAAATTCTTGCTGGCATATAAAAGTACAGTTTTCATATAGCTACCTACCTATATAAGTGCAAGCACAGACAGACGGACATACAAACGGATGTAAAACGCCATATTATTAATATAATATGTCACTCTTCGGACAAAGTTCAGACAAATGAAACAACAGAAAACCGTTCAACAAACTCTGAAAGCACTTTTTATTTATCAAATTTGTGTAAAAATCAGAAACAAACAAAATAAACATTTAACTTGCCTATCCAAAAACTAAGTTTCATGTGCAATAAAGCATAGTAGAATTAAAAAATTAATCAATAAGAACTGATCATGTATAATAGAACTTTAGCTTGCACAAAAAGCGGTATAAAATTAAATTACGAATTCAAAATCAAATCTGGAAAAAATCATTATGTAGACAGTATAGAGGAAACCCTATGAAAGATATTTAAATCATCTCATTATAAAAAAAAACAAAAAACAAAAACAAAACAAAAACAAATCTGAATCATTGCATAATGTTATCTGTCACAGTACAGCATTTTCTATTCAGTTTTTTTTTTAATTTCATAATCATAATTATTCAATTTTTGCTCCAAGAAAGTAAAAAACATCACTTAGTCTGTTCATATTTATATTTTCCAAAAAACTTCTTTTCAAATCACGTTCAGCTGATTTTGCACCAAGAAGCACTTCTGTTGCCATGGAAATAAGCCACCAGTTGACCTGCGACCTTGATAATGTGTTGCTAGGTGACAGCCAATCAGAGGGACTCCACAAAAACACATGCAGAACATCAGCTGCAAATCTAGCTGTAGGTCTCTGTAGAAGAGAAAAAAAACCAACAACTAGCATTTATAATATTTCAGCAGTCTATCCATATAATCGGCTTTCCTGGCTAACTTACCATGATTTACCATTTTCTATGCAACCAAGTAGTAATCCCACAAGGTGTGAGACAAGTAACTGTTAGTGTAAGAATTATAGTTCTTAATTGTTAATTTATTTATTATAATCACATAATTTTCATAGTTTGGATTTTTTTGCATAGTAATTTAACTATTAAAAACATTGTTTGACTCTTTCAATATTTAACATAAAGCTTCACTATTTCCAGCTCAAACGTAAACGTCTTATTGTGGTTTCCCGTAAGAGAACGTCATTAAATTGTTTTACGGTGACCGTCATTAACTCGTTACTTTTGATATGTTGTTTTGCCTTGGGCGGAAGTGCTTAAAATTGTTGTGATGTGTTTTGTTTATTGATGTTTTCCATGGAAAGGATAGATCATAATCGGTAAGCAAGTTATTAACTATGTATGAAATTTAGTAGTAAATTCAATATTGTTTAAATGATGATGAACTTTTACAATATTTGCTGTGAATTAAATTAATAAACGGAATTATTTGCGGAAATATAAAATAACAATATTATTTAAATAATTTTAAGTCTATAATTGTAAAGGTGATATCGTATATTTATGATTGTATAAGCATTATTATTTTAGACAATTTATTGTATTTTATTTTAAATGCGTTGTAATCAGTATTTAGTTTGTTTATTTATTATTTTCAGAAGAATCGCATTGTTGTATCACATTGATATAATTTCCATGATATGAGAATAAAAGAAAAGTGTTGAAATCTGCGCATTCTTGACTATTTTAAACGGAAAACATTTACAATTCTCGATTTTACAATTCTCGATTTTACTGTGACGAAAATGCCGTCAACAAATAGTGCGGAAACTTGTAATCAGGAGTTTGTCAGTTTTGAAGAGATCAAGAAGTGCAAATGGCGCTCAACTGACGAAACTATACAATGAACTTGAAAAGAGCATGATGTCCTACAATAATATAGAAGAGGTAAAACTACTGAACAATAAATTATGTGAACGCTTTGAACATTTCAAATCAGTGCATTTACAATGTTTAGATTTGTGCGCGCAACCGGAAGTTGTTGCAGACTTGGAAGCGAACTTTGAGAGCTGTTTAAAGAACTTTGAAAATTCAGGGAAAGATTTTCTCAGTGGATCGCGGAGCTTTTGGACCGCATGATGGAGAAAATATTCCTGTAGAAAATGACGCAGAGTCAAATGTCAGCCATGGAAGTTCACGTACTTCAGTCTCGTCGCGCCGGAAATTACAAAGTGCTAAAGCAAAGCGTTTAGTAGCAGAACACAAATTAAAACAACTTAAAAAGAAACAAGAACTTGAACGAGCTCGCCGGGATCTTGAAATGAAACAACAGTTGTTAGATCAGCAGTCGGAATTAGAAGAAGCAGAGATAGAAGAAATGTGTGGTTAGAAACAACACAGGAAGAAACTGGGGTCATATCTAAAATCAAAATGCTCAGCCTGACGTACAAAATAATATGATTGATCATATTCAGGGCGTTGAACCAACCGTACAGATTCTGTGAGAAATATAACTTTGATAAGCCCAGACCGGAAATGCAACAGATCGTGTTTACCGGAATTGACAGTGAACATCGAACATTGACAAATCATTCAAAGATTGGCGTCAGCACTCCATGAAGGTATTCAACTTACCGAAAGCCAGAACTATTGACATTTGATGGGAAGCCTGAAGGATACTGCAAATTTATCAAAAACTTTGAAACAAACATTGAAAGCAGAATAAAGTGACAATAACTTAAAGCTAAGTTATCTCATTCAGTATTGTACAGGTAAGGCAAAATCTAGTATAGAAGATTGTGTTTTGTTAGAATCGGAAGAAGTGTTATAAACGTGCTAGGTCTATATTATTGTCTAGATTTGCACACCACATTTAATTGCAAGGTCTTACATTGATAACTTGGTAAATGGTGCTCAAATTAAAGCGTCCGATGTTGAAGGGCTATCTAAATTATCTTTAGAGATGCAGAAAATGTGAAATCACACTTTCTCTCAGTTAGGATTTTCCTCTGATATTGATAATACAGAAAATTTAAAGATGCATTGTTAGGCGGCTCCCAACACATATAAGAGTAAAATGGGTAGAAGTAGCACATTATATAAATGAGTCAGGTAGAGTGCCGCGCTTTTCAGATTTGTCTAAATTTGTAGACGAAAAATCACGTATCGCTAACTCCATGTATAGCTATGATCTTTGTAAAAACAATGATTTTATCAAGAAAGAAACCAGAAACAGTTCTGGCAAATATTACAGTAATGATAGACCAAAGGTTACTACTCTAAATACACATACTGAAGAAAACGGTCATGAAAGTAGTAAATGCATTTGTTGTTCAGGTAACTGTGCAGAGTTATCACTGTGTAACAAGTTCAAGTCAATGAGTCTCAATGAGCGTTATAAACTGGTAAGATCACTTAAATTGTGTTACAATTGTTTAAAAGGTAAACATTTTACAAACAAGTGTAGAAAACCAAAAATATGTAACCGTATGCGATACGCACTCGTCTTGGATGGGCTATACGCGGTCCAGTTCCAACTACGCAAGAATCCAACGATATTAACATAAATTTCTTTGAGTCACGTGACATGTTGTTACAGCAACAAATTGAGCGTTTGTGGACAACTGACTTTAATGATAAATCACAACAAGTGAAGAGTTGCATGTCTGTAGAAGATAAAAATGCTATGAAATCCATGGAATCAACTTTAACTTGTGAGGATGTCATTACAAGATTGGCCTCCCTTGGCGTGATGGAAATTCGTCATTCGTAAATAATATACCGCTTGCTCAAGCCAGATTACAGCAGTTGAAGCGCAAGTTGTCAAGTGACAATAATTTGCATTGATATGTACAGAACTACTGGTAAATGGTTACATTGCAAATGGCTATTCATCGGATGTAGATTACATGGTACCAGAGAAAACGCGTGTTTGGTATACGCCGCATCATCCAGTAACAAATGTGCATAACGCTTCTGAAACAGACAAATTAAATGTTTGGTTACATGGACCAACATTTCTTAGTAAAGGTAGGGAACACTGGCCTAAGTATTCAGGTAATTTTATCCCGGAAGTGAGTGAAGATGATGTTGAAGTAAAGAGATATGGATGTATTTTTTCTTGTTTTAACATCAAGGGCCGTCCATTTAGAAGTTACTCATAGTTTGAGTACAGATTCGTTTATCGCCGCATTGCAACGATTATTAGCCGGAGAGGTCTACCGGAAAAGGTATATAGTGACAACGGAACCAATCTAGTAAGTGGAGATTGTGAATTTGCGCAAGTTCCTTACGAGAGTGGAATCAATCCGAAATTGGACAATTCATGTTGCAGCGGGAAATCGAATGGAACTTTAACCCTCCATCAGCTAGTCACATGGACGGTATATGGGAACGGATGATTCGATCAACACGTGCAATTTTGAGATCGTTAGTCAAAGAGCAGCTTCTAACAGATGAACAACTTCTTACTGTTATAACAGAGGTTGAAAAAATACTTAATGATAGACCCATTACCCGAATAAGCGATGACCCAAAATACCTTCCAGTTTTAACTCCAAGCATGATTTTATTACTAAAGTCCAATACATGTATTCCACGTGGCATTTTTAGAAAAAAAGATACATATGCAAAGAGAAGGTGGAGACAGGCTCAGTATCTTGCTGATATATTCTGGAAACGATGGATTCAGGAATATATACCTACCCTACAATCTCGACAGGAAAATGGCTGAGACCACAAAGAGATATCCGTGAGGGCGATATTGTACTCGTGGCTCAGGAAAACATACCAAGGGGGCAGTGGCCGTTGGCAGCGTTTGAATCTATAAATGTGGGTCGAGACGGGCATACACGAAGCTGTGTGGTCAAAACTAGTATGTCACAATTTTTAAGACCAATAACTAAACTTTGCCTACTAGAATGTTCTATTTAAGTAAAGGTATACATTACAATAAGCTATTGTTTGTATAAGATGAAATCGTAACGTTTCATGGTGGGGAGTGTAAGAATTATAGTTCTTAATTGTTAATTTATTTATTATAATCACATAATTTTCATAGTTTGATTTTTTTGATAGTATTTACTATTAAAAACATTGTTTGACTCTTTCAATTTAACATAGCTTCACTATTTCCGCCAAACGTAACGTCTGATTTTGTTTCCCTATTATGTTAACGTGACTCCATTAAGCGTACCTTGCTATGTTTTTTGCCTTGGGCGGCAACCTGCCTTAAATTGCTTCGATCGTGTTTCGTTCTCACTCTGACTGCTTCTTCCACATCACTAACGTTAGACTGCCATATAACGGTTAACAACGTTATTAACCTAGTATGAATTTTAAATAGTAACGCCTTCTTCAATATTGTTTGAAATAGATGAAACTTTACAATATTTTGCTGTGATATTCAAATTACCTACCAACCATCAATCTAATTGTGCGGAAATTACACAATAACAATATATTTAACTAGATTTAATCTATATTGCTAAAAGTGATTCATCGTAAATATTATGATTCGTATAATCATTCAATTAATTTTAGACAATTTATTCATTTATTTGTATAATCGTTTGTAATCAGTATTTAGTTTGTTTATTTATTATTTTCAGAGAATTGCATTGTTGTATCACATTGATATATTATTCCATGAATGAGAATAAAGAAAAGTGTTGAAATCTGCGCATTCTTGACTATTTTAACGGAAAACATTTACAGTTAGAATAAACATGAGATATTTATTGTCACACCCTGAGAATTGAACTAGCAGTCCCTGGATTATCTCTAATGAGCTAAGCTGGCAGACTTGAAGATCATGTAACTCAATTTTTTTATGGTTTTATATCATAAATATTATGCTCAAATGAAGATTTATCAATATTGTAAGTTCCAAAAAGCATTATTTGCAAAGATATTACCGAATTTACATTTCATGTTAATAAAGGGAGGTAATTAGAAATTTATATTCCATTAAGTCTAAATCAAATTTTTCAATAACAAATGAATGCCTATATTTTAATGATGTTTAATTTGCAGTACATATTTTACATATTCTTCGATGTTTGAAAATTGTTTTAGAAGCATAATTATATACATATATGAAATTTCACATAAGTGTGGTAACAACCTTGATTACAACATACAGGATCTTTAACTTACAGCCAAACTGATAAAAAAACATAATTTTAAACTTAAAAAATTAACATGCTGGAAGAAAAAATAAGTTTTCTGGGAATTTTCAATGCTTTTCAATATGTAAGTGGGAATTTTCAATGATTTTGTCAACCGAGAAAAAGCCTACATTTTCCCTATATTTAATGTAATAGAAATCTGATGTACTGAAAGCTGAAATTAACCTATTTTTTTAAAACATCATTTACCTGGCTTGCTTTTCTATCTAACATCAAAGACACAAGTTGTTTTACCACCTCTGGAACATCATCTGGTAAGAGAGGTAACTCTTCCTTTGAGTATGTTCTACTGTCTAACCTCCCTTTGTTTGCATGGGTGTAAAATGGGTTGTCTGCCCCTAGAATTTCATAAGCCAAAGCCCCAGTTGCCCAGAGGTCTGATTTACTGTAATCCAGGTATGAAAACATACCAGGTTCTGCGGTCGAAATCTGTAAAATAAAAGGAACATTTGCTGCACTTAAAGTGTATAAAGCTATATATCTGATGCAAAAATTATTGTTTGAATTTTAAACTAGAACTCCGCGAGTCGGATGTGTCGCCTTGTAAACAATATAGTTTAGGAGAAATGGCCAGGATAAAAATGAAATATCAAAACTAACAAAGGGCAATAACTCAACAAATAATAAGTGCAGAGCAGCAGTTTCTGTGCACTGCACTTCTTATCAATAAGATCTATCATTCTATGAAGTTTCAAGTCTTTTTATCTTTTTTAATTTATGAGAAATAGCCTGGACAAAAATAAAGTATGAAAATTAATAAAGGGTAAAAACTCACAAATAAGAAGTGCAGAGTACCGGTTCTTGTACACTGCACTTTTTCTTAATGAGATCTATCATCCTATGAAGTTTCATGTCCATAGCTTTCATACTTGAGGAGAAATGACCAGGACAAAAATAAAGTAAGAAAATCAACAAAGGCCAATAACTCAAAAAATAAGAAATGCAGAGTATCAGTTCTTATGCACTGCACTTCTTCTTAATGAGATCTTTCATCCTATGAAGATTCAAGTCCATAGCTTTTATACTTTAGGAGAAATGGCCTGGACAAAAATAAAGTTTGAAAATTAACAAAGGGCAATAACTCAAAAATTAGTGCAGAGTACTGGATCTTGTGCACTGCACTTCTTCTTAATGAGATCTATCATCCTATGAAGATTCAAGTCCATAGCTTTTTTAGTTGAAGAGAAATGGCCCGGACAAAATTAAATTATGAAAATTAACAAAGGGCAATAACTCAAAAATTAAGAACTGCAGAGTACCGGTCCTTGTGCACTGCACTTTGAGTTATTGAAAGAAGCATGCATACCAAGTTTGAAGTCAATCAGACTTATAGTGACTGAGTTATGCTCCGGACAAGCTTTAGGGAACGCCGCCGACAACGCCGCCGCCGACAAAAGTAACCCCTATGTAGCCTTTTCAAGACAACACAAAAAGTATGCTTCCAAAATGCTTGTATGAAATAAATATGGTAATTCATTGCCTTAAAAGCGAATGGCGCATGCACAAAAGCATTGCTAAATGGATAAAACCCTACTTAAAATAGCAAAATAATATTTTGTTAAGAAACATTTTATTCTATTTACGTAAATTATTCATGTGTATTAAATAACAAAGGCATTCTATGTTATAACTTTTTCAGGAACCAACCATATAATAATGGAACCAATTTAATTTTACTGTTGATAAATTCTATTAAAATATTTCATAAAGGTGTTGATTTATACCCTTTAAGAGTAATTTGAAAATAATGAAATAATCTCTTAGTTTAATAAACATTCCATTTTTTATCTATTTTTTTTTCCAGATGGCCTCTTGATAGAGCAAAGCCTATTTAGTATTAAATTGAGAGGATTGTCAAAGAATGCAACAAGATTATCCCTCTATTTATACATGTGGAGCAGTAATGTTGTTTTAAATTTTTTTTTTAAATAAATGTGAAATGTTTTTTCTCAGAAATGAATAGTATGCATTACTTTAAACATGCTGGGGTTATTATGTTTCAATCAACTTATATTAAGATCTTATATTTTTTTTTACTTACAACTTACTACATTTGTATAATAAATGAGGTATGTAAGCTTTTTTTTTGTCAGAAAATCTTCATGGACATTACAGTACTGATTGGCAAAATAACATAAACTTTTAACACATGCCCACACTACAAGATCAAGTTCTTCCCTGTGCCTCATATAACAACCTACAATCTACTCATAATAGTTTGTGCTAGGTTTTAAGTGCCATGTTTTTAGTGCAGGTTTTTGCTGCCAGGCCCCAGAACTTCAATTTAACACACACAGCACTAGTTTCTGTACATGGCATGTACTGGCCAATATTTTATGGCAGATGACATTTGAGTCATGCCATGACAAAACCGACATAGTGCTTTTGCGACCAACATGGATCCAGACCAGCTTGCGCATCGACACAGTCTAATCAGGGTCCATGCTGTTTGCTTACAAACCCTATTACAAGTAGAGAAACTGATGGCAAACAGCATGGATCCTGATCAAACTGCGCGGATGCGCAGGCTGGTCTGGATTCATGCTGGTCACAGAAGCACTTTGTTGGTTTTGTCATGGCGTGGCTCATTTATTAAGATCAATATGGTACTAACCTCTGGTGCCATGAGTGCGGTGTTACCTCCCCTGTCCATATGTTCTGTAGGGTATGGAATCTGTAGACCATGACGATCATCTGCCAAACAACATCCAAAATCTCCTACAACTAACTGTGGTGTGCCAGCTACAATAATACAATTGCTTTTTAATTGACATTATGCTCCTTTTTTTGCTGTTGAGCTGAATTAGTAATATATTTCAAGAATGACTTTTGTAAATTATTGGTCATTTACAAACTATTGAATAAAATATAAGAACTATCTAAATCATAAAAGACAACTGCCCCAATATTTTTGAGAACTGAATGTAACCAATATATTCTGAACAATATTTTAAGAAAAGTCAATGTGACACATGGATTATTGATTACTTTTCTATAGTAAAATATAAAATTGTACAAACGCCACAATTATTTTGACTTTTACCTATGCACTCACCATTTACACTTGGATGGGCATAATCTCGCATTAATACAAGTGTCAACAGAAAACAGTCAAAAGCAAATAAATTTTGTTTTGCACAAAGAAACTTTTTTTATGAGACATAATTTCAAAATGCAACATACTAAGAAATAATTATAAAGCAGAATTTCTAAAGGACTAATACACTTGCACTTGTGGAGGCAGACCCAAGATGTCTCTCTCTGAGCATTATTTCAGATAGAAGCACTCACACTGGTGGATGTAATTTTTTTTTATAAGTTAACTTGCTAGGATTTCTCCATCATTGGCCCTTCTTACATGATAACTACTGCCTTAGATAAATACATGATCTCTTATCAATGTTTGCTGCCACAACATGCCACTGCTAAATGCAGTTTGCACTTCCGAATTCTTTCTTACTGGCGGATAGATTTTATTCATTCTGATACCGAAATCTCCCTAAACTGAGGAAATAAAATTCAAAGAAAAGAAATTTTCTTACACAAATTCCGCAGGGTAAAGTTTTAATAAATACAGATTTATTTTTCAGATCCCTGTGAATTATGTATCAGACTTACCTGTAGAAGTGTCAAGGAAGATATTATCCATTTTCAGGTCCCTGTGAGCTATACCGTGCCTTCTCATGTGACAAACAGCTTCTAAAAGTTGAGCCAATAATATCAACCTCTCGTGTAAACTGGGATTGAATGTCGAAAGATACTCCCCTAGAGTATTCTGGTACCTACAAGTAAAACAATAAATCTGTTATCAAATATTATAACAGCAAATAAATGGTCTAGCATGGACGCCAAATGCTTTCAGTAGCAGAAAGAGCATCGAAACACCAAGCTATCTGACTGTACATAGCTATATCCCCTCCAACCATGATAACAAATCAGCTTGCAGAGAGTTCCGATATTCTTTCTCTTTTGTATCATAGGCAAAAATAAAAACATGTTCCCTGTCGTCACAATATGAAACTCTAGATAAAAAGTAACCAATGCACGAGCATCTGAATATGACTTACTTTTCTATCATTATCCCTTTCTCTGTTGTCACAATAAGTAAATCCCAGACAAGATGAGCCACTCAATAAGCATGCTCTGTTTTTATTCCCTACAGACAGTGTGGTAACTCGAGTGTGGTGTATCTAATGTGGTGTACCTAATGTGGTGTATCTAGTGTGGTGTATCTAGTGTGGGTAACTAATACCTGTACTTCAAACGCATTGTGCTTAAACTGCTTGTATGGGTATATGATTTAACTCTGACACATTTTCAACAGAAGTCTTCAAAACTATGGCACAATAGTCATATGGAAAAATAAAAAATTTGCCCAAGAGTAAGTTGTAGGTGAACAGATCAGTCAATCCGTTAACCAACCAAGGTACTATCTGCTTGGCACCTACTTATGTCAAAATCATGTTTCCTTATAAGACATCATCATATACTAGTTGGTTCCAGTGAAAAGGAAAATAAAGAAAAATCAAACTAATGTTAATATCTAATCAAAATAGAATTGTTAATTCCCCATACTGTATGAAATTACCTACTTTTTCATGACAAGAAACAGTGTCATATTACGTCCAATGCCGTGTGGGTTAATACGTGCTGGCAGGGCAGCTGGGTAGTTGAGAAGACTGTCAGGGAGGTGTGGCACTGGGTCAACAAACACGCCCCACATCTCCACTATGTTTGGATGTGGTGGAAGCCTTTTCTTCCGAACTTTGTGCCTGAAGTAACATAATAAATCTATTTATATCTATACCATTGAAGCAAAAACATTTAATAGAATAGCTCAAGTGACCACAAAATCGTAACTCATCAGCTTCAAACTAATAAGTTGTCCAGTGTGCACATTACTTTTTATACTTTTACAATACTTTTAAATTTAGACAATTAACTCAAATAAAACTGGAACAATTTCAGACATATCTACAAATATCCATATGACATATTTCAACAAATAACCTGAAATGCCTTATGCTTTTTCGAATCAAGCTAAAAATTTCAAAAGCGATTATCAAAATCAGGATATACATACCCATTCTGCCATGTTTCCATCTGTCCATGTGACATGGCCAGTCTTGCAGGGATTGTCTCCCTTTCCATCTCTCTCATAATGGCATCAGCATTAGACTCCGCCCCATAGTTAAACATCATCTTAACAGCAAGGTTAAACTTCCCACATATACCTGGATTAATAAATAAAGTTACTTTTTACAATTTCTTTTTGAAAAACAATGAAATTTTGGCAAAGATAAATGAAAGTTCCTTTTTTTCTACATCAATTTTAATTCTATTTTTTCTATCTTGAGTATAAGACTTATTCAGCTTCACAGATGAGAAATACACTTACCTGATGAAAAACTACTATCTAGAGAGTTATATTCTTGTACATTTCCATCAAAGATTTCCCCTTGGTCTGATGCTTCATCCATTTTCCCCATAAATTTAGCCACTATTTCAGCACATGACATGGACAGGGACAAATCATTGACAGAATTCTGTTTTATTCCGATATTGTTGTCATCTTCTTCTTCATCTTCTTGATAACTTATGAGACTCTCAGTAACGTTAAAATCCCCTGGTGCCATACAAGCATACTCTACATCAGAAACGTCTTCAGGAGAACTCAAAATTGAAATTTCACTGTCAGAATCAGGAAAGTCGATAAAGTCATCTTCTGCAGTTGTAAGAAACTCAAGTGGCGCTTTTTCGGATTCATCCAGGTCATCATCTGATAGGGATAAGATTGTGATGTCGCTTCCGCTGTCACTTGTATCATCTTCAGCATCAGAGATATCTTCACGAACAATTGGTGACTCTTCTATGTCTGCTGGAGATGAATAGCTAGTGTTGTTTGATTCATTATCCTCTGCTTCAATAATGTCTTTATCTTCAGAATCTGATAGAGAACCTGAAAAAGTGTTGAATACAAGAAATCATTTTTCATCAGTATGCAATCAGCATATTATTTAAAACTCTTAAACTCAATTAGTTTTAAAAAATAATTCATCACTCATCCCCCCTGTCAAACATATGCAATGAAAAAAAATATGTATTTTTACCAATGTACATAAGTACAAATTTAAAAAGTCTTGGGAAGTGACGGAATAAGAAGCATTTTGAAAAAGTCCTGAGAAGTGACGAAATAAAAAGCCTTTTCAAAAAGTCCATGTCAAGATGGAACTCTTTTTTAACTGTATTAAAAGTTTATAGTTAAAATTATACAGAACTTTTGACACATTCCTACAGTTTTGCAGAAAAAGTTTACTATTTAAACAGTTCTGAGCGTCAAATGATGCTAACCTGTTTTCAGATGTGCTTCGTATACAGCCGCATTGCAACCTTGACCTATAAGCTGACCAAACTCAAACTGTTCAAGTGACAACTGTCCTATTTTCTCAAGTAGTGGAGATCTCACAGTGTCTGTAGCCTTAACAAAGTCCTGTTGAAAAAGAAAGATATATGAAAGAAGAGATAAAAAAAATTTTTTCTAGATTCAATTGGTAGTGATAGATTTTTATTAACTTAAAAAGTTAAAGCAATTTTAAAAGTGATTTATTGTGTCCGAAAGTAATTTAGTTGACTAAAATTATTGCATATCTGACATAATAATCTACTGTTTACACAGGTGCTAGAAAAACCTTTCTTGCATCTCAGACAGGATTATCTACCGTTTACATCGGTGCTAGAAAACTCTGTCTTACAACCCCCATGTAAGACAAGTCGCTTTTTTTAAATGACGTCATTGACGCGCGCCTTTTATGAATGAATCGCGTTCTTAGGATGACGTCATTTTTCCGTTATGAATGAAGTTGTATGTTCTTACACTACTATAAGAAAAAGTGCGTAATGAGAATATCAGTTTTCATAATACCTGTTCCGAAAATAATTGACATGTGATATGCAAGAAAAAGAATCAAACACCGGCTGTTGGTACAGACGGGAATATCTAGCTCTCGGGTAACTGTTAAGCAGAAACTTGGCAGAGCCTCGTTACCGCTGTAAACAGTTACCCTCGAGCTAGATATTTCGGTCTGTACCGGCAGCCAGTGTAAGATTCTTATAGTCTTACACTCCCTGTGTGAGGCAGGTTGAATGACGTCTTTCCATGCTCTTTTTATGAATGATCTGCAGTCGTAGGATGATGTCATTTTTCTGTTATGAATGCTAGAAGTTAAGCAATTCATAAACTTCTATGAGAAAAAAATATACATGGAAATATTAGTTTTCGTAATTTTATGGTGACTTTACCTAGATATAGTGATCTCCCCTCTAATGGGAAGTATAAGGATCTTACACTGACTGCCGGTACAGACCTGAATATCTGGCTCGATGGTAACTGTTTATGGCAGTAATGAGGCTCTGTCCAGTCTCAGCTAAACAGTTCCCGAAAAGCTAAATATTCTCATCTATATTTACAGCCGGTGTTTGTTTCTTTTTCTTGCATATTACATGTCAATTATTTTGGGAACAGAAATTACGAAGACGGATATTTTCATTACACACTTTTTTCTTATGTACAATCTTCATTCATAACGGTAAAATGACATCATCATAAGAATTCAATTCATTCATAAAAAGTGTGACTTGTCTTACATGGGGGGGGGGGGGTTTAGCACCAGTGCATATGGTAGATAATTCTGTATGATATACAAGAAATTCTGACCTAGAACAAAAATAAATGTCTCAGAATTTAGTTTTGTCATGTCAAAATATTTCGACTTATATTGGGCAGAATGTACATGTTACCTGAATTTTTCCAAGAATCTCCTCTTCCTCTTTTTCTGCATGATGAGCCATTACAAGACCAACAAATGAAAACAGTGGCACATTTCTTCCACATCTCCATGCAGCCTGACGACCAATCCGACTTGCAATGCTGTTGAAGTAGTATTTGGGTAGGATTTTTTGCCATACATTGAATAACTTATTCCTTGTAGCCTGGGATTGGTATGTGACAACCTGCTGAACAGTCTGGGTTTGTTTTGGTATTCGAGTGACCTTGACCCCAGCTTTCTGCGTTTGAGTTTTGACAATTCCTTGAAATACTTGTTTACCCTTCCTTAGGACGTTTGAAATTAAAGCTTTTGAAGTCATCTCACCTTGGTGTCTTGCAGCTTTAGCCCAAAAGGGCTCTTTTGCCGCTAAGAGCCTAGAGGGCAACAATTTTGCTGTTTTTTACAACTAACCAATAAAGTAAATATCTCTTTTGGGAATTTCCAAAATATATATTACACACTTCCGGTGGAAAAGTACGAAATCCATTTTTTTCCCGAAAAGAGGTTATTTTTCGAAAAGTTAACATTAAATCTGGAATGTCAATATATAAAAGCACTGGTCAGCCTACATGTTTTCAAAAATTTGATTGCGGCGTTAAGTGCAAATATTCGTAAAATTTATTCTTTTTAGAACATTTCTTCATTTCCCTGACGTTCCTTGTTTGGTGCCCTGTTGGACTCCGTGCCGGTGGCCATTTGCATGTCTGGTTGGTTTATTGAATCCCGTCGTTCCCTGTTCATCTTTGTTTTCATATTTTTTTAACCACATTAATAAATTTAAGTATGGAGAAATAAAGATATTTACACCTTTGATATAGTGTTACTACCCTAATTTTTCCATTTGCTTTTCTATTCCGTGTAACCATGAAACCCATACAAAGTAGTTCAATGAATAGTTTTTGTTCCACAAATTAATGAATCTATAGTAAAGAAAAACGTATTAGATTCAAAGCCTTCTGTTAAAAGATCTATTGAACTTTTGTTTTTCCAGTTTTATAATCCATACTGAAGACCAACCTGAGGAATGTTTTCTCCGTCACTCTTAATTAAGACCTTGCCAATATTCAAAGACTTATTTTAACGGATACTGTTCCCTTACTTTAAAACATCTTTTATTGTAGAAACAATTTATGAGATATTATCGTTTCCTGCCCATATTATTCGGTGTCCTAACACGTATTCCAGGGGGTATCCGTGCCTTTCAGGCAAATTTATAGTTTTAATTGAATGAACTATGGAAGAACCTTTTGGATTCTATTCATTTAGCTATAACAAACTAAAAAACTGATATTAAATAACTTCAGGGAATTTGAATACGTGTTGGAAGTAAGAATGATTTTGTCCAATTAAGTTTTAGAAATTTAAGTCTCCTGGAATTATGTTTGTTGTGTCTTTTGGGTATCTTGTTACATATAGTAATTTTTTCATATATTTAGTTCAAATATACTCTTTTCTGTCATTGTATTTATGTGGTTTTTAAACGCTATTATACAATGTGAAATGGTTTGTAATATTTTATCTGTAATCTTACCAATAAAATTTCAGCGTCAGTGCACCATCCCCCCACAAAAATAACCAGAGCATAACTTTTATGTAAGGCAGTGTTCAATTAAAGTACATCACCATTCAAAATATTATTAATCAAACAAATTAATAAATAACTCACATACAAGATATAATTATATAATATATGTTAATTTATCAAATGTAAAAAAAGAAAAAAGAGTTCTAGATCTAGCTAGATTATCTTAATTTTGTCATGTATATAATTTTGGATTCTTTTCATGAACCTCAACTGCATCTGGATAAAAAATGCTAAATAAGATCATCTATTAGAACTATACATAACATGACAGTCCCTGATAAGATTAAGCGTAGATTAAACAACTATTAATGTCTGCTATCATTGAGTACAAACAAAACATATGAACGATTATTTCGCTATTGATGTTATGTAATATTGGTCCACTTTAAAGACAACAAGTTAGTGTTAATTTTTTGGTCTTTGACAATTTAAGTATGAGGCATCTGGTTGATATCCTCCTATACATTTGTATTAAAAAAATCGCCATCATTGTTGTTTTATAATATTTAGCAGTTTTTGATCTTATGCATTTATCTCTATACGTTTACATTATTTTTATCAACCCTCATTGTTCTCAAGACAGAATAACATTTCTCCTGCATACAATAAAAGCAATTCGCATATTTTCTCACTGAAATCACAATGTATACTAGTATGTTGTAATATCCCTTGTAAAGATCTATCTGTTAAAGCGATGTTTTTGAATTCATTTTACCACTGAAGCTTGTCAATATTTGTTTTTACCACATGTTTTGAACTATCCTTTCCGGTATCGCAAAAAACGCCAGCTGTCAAAATTTCCCGCCAAGTACTCAGCATCATTCTTGACGTTTCGTCACGTGACTTGTCAATTAACTGCAATACAACACGGATGTATGAATGAAACACAATTTGTAATGGAGACAAATTAACGTGCATTTGTGTTCTTGGAGACTTCATTTTCGTTCAGAATTTGGATACATTTCGTAAGCTAAGGTTAGTTTAATTTGTTAAGCTTGATTTTACTATTATAGCAGACGAAAACTGCGAGAAATGTCAAAATGGCGAATAATACTTCGTATAGAGCAATATGAATCACTCCAGGTCCATGAGTCATCACTGTTCGATCGCTGTTACACTGAAATAGTGAATACTAATAAAGAAGGAAGTGCAACTAATATTTTGAGGAAGTTGTAAAGGTCATTTTGATTTTAATAACATATATTAGACGTTTCTTTGGTTGGTTCAAGCCATTGTTCATTTTATGATTAATTAACTGTTAGTTGTTATAAAGTTTGTTAACTGCTGTATAGGTCATGGCCTTGAAATACTATTAATACAGTTGTATACATACACAGATGTTTTCTTATTTTGTATTGTTAAAAGTTATATCGGGAGTGCATGTCATATAAATTTATATACAACATGTACAAGTGTCGGAAAAGCATTTTAAAAATTAAATGATTATAAATGTATATAATAATTTGCATTATTATTTTGAATATTTATTAAAATGTACATTTGATTAATAGTGCATAGTACTTTAACTTATCATCTTAATTATTAATTCTTAACATGTAAAGTTCTATATTACAAGACTATTGACATTTTTTTCTTTTTCTTCAACATTTTTGGACTCCCACCAACACCTTAAAAAATAAGACTAGAAAAAAGTGAATATTGGGGTAGCTAACAGAAACGTATATAAACAGATAATGAATAAAAGGAAATTTTTTAAAAATTTTGATAGCTTCAAGTTTTATATGTTCTTGTATAAGTAATATAATTGCAAGGGAAAAAACTTTTACAATGAAAATTTTGATAGCTTTTAGTTTAGTATTTAATAGTTCAATAACAACCTTAATGTAGACTGATAATTGGCAATTTTAAATGCTTTTCAATTGGGAAAAATGTAAGTTTTGGAATTGGGATGACTTCAGGTAAGTATAGAACTACTAAAATAAGGGATGGGGGCGGAAATCCTGTGGATATAACAACCCAAACTGCTTACAAGTAGCTTTTATAAACAGCAATATAGAGTTTTTCAGGTCTAGGTGAATTTCCCATGGTTTATTTTCTAATTTCTGTAAGCATCCAGGCTTGATTTTTAAATGAATTAATTTGTAAGAGCTAGTGATCAAGTTACTTGAGTCAGCAAGTCCCCTTTGATATTTACAACAAGGTCACTTAAGTCAGACATGGTCCTTGAATATTCAATAAAATGTAGTGCATGGTGTCTCTAGGTCACAGTTTATGTTCTGATCAATTTCAGATGGTGGAGTCTGGATGAGTGGTAATAATATATCAGGGTAATGTAGTTATCTATTAGGATTGGCAGAGTTGTTTCAAACCCCATCAAGACCAAGCTGTTGTTTTCTTGAGAAGAAACTATACACTCATTGCTAAATTCTGATTTGATTGAAATCAGTCATGAAATGTAAATGGTGCTAATATTTCGCATAGATAATTATATCCAGTCCACTTTTATCTCTGGTTGTAGTAACAAACACAGTATAAGAATTTAAGATTCATTCCAGGCGAAAAATGGCAGGCTGTATCATGGATGCAGAAAATCTTCATTTCGGAAAACCTGCAGTATAACATATTTTGTTTCAGTCTTTAATTCTAGCCCATAAATTTTAATATAAATTTTAATCAATGCACCCCTTAATACTTCTTTTAGGGTTGTGGGTTCGCATTGTCCCCATTTGGGTAAAGCAAGAGTGAACACTTCATATAGGCTCAGGTGAAAAATGATGTTGACTTTCAAACCAAAATCTTTGTGAAACCAGCTATTAGAGTGGTGCTATTTACAGGAATCCTGTAAGGTATAATACACCAAAATGCCCCAGTTCTGTAAGTACATCAATTTGTCTGCCATACGTGGCAGCTTAGAGTGGCATGCCTCATCTGGAAATTTTATTAAGCAGACATTGATATCAATTAAAATACGAGAGTAAAAGATGTTGACCATATAAGAGTGTATTCTACTTCTAAACTCCCAGTATGGCATTTCTTGAAATATATGTGCCAGCTGTAGTAAAAATCAATGCATACTTTCAACACTTAAATGTCAAATGTTTTATATTTAACAGATGTTGCAGTATTAAAATGGCTGCACCATATTAAAGACAAGGAGATAACTCTGTTGGCAGCTGGGAGGAGAAAAGACATATTTATAAACATGGCGTGATATTATACAAAGGTATTTAATACAATTTTTGGCACGCCATGACAAAACCAACATCGTGTGTTTGCGACCAGCATGGATCCAGATCAGCCTGCACATCTGCACAGTCTGATCAGGATCCATGCTGTTCGTCATCAGTTTCTCTACTTGTAATTATAGGGTTTGTAAGCGAACAGCATGGATCCTGATCAGGCTGGTCTGGATCCATGTTGGTTGCAAAAGCACTATGTTGGGTTTGTCATGATGCAGCTCATTTATTTTTCACAGCACATATCATATGCTTATGCATTGGGTCAGTCAGTAGACTAACTCCGGAATTAGAATATTTGGGATTTTCTCAGTTACTCCATAGAAACAAACAAACTTTAACTATTACAGCTTCAAAAATAAGTGCAATAGGTTGACTAATCTATTGTGACGGGCTAGTGCACCGTGAAGCTATAAGGGTAAAAAGTTTGTTTGTACCTACCGATAAGCTTGGAAAAACCCACATTTCCCGAGTTCCTGACAACATCTATTGTAAACAAGGTCTTACCCCACTCTTTCGATAATGGTATTTTAACTTTTGGACCCATTTGGGAACTCTGCTCCAACACTGTCAGTTTGACATATTCCCTGGGGTTACTTTGAACTGGTGCACAATTGAATTGAACATGTGTTGGTACACTATAGGGACAGCAGCTTTCTGTCTTTTAGTCAAATAAATTTATCAACTAGCTGATATTTTAAGTCAGCTGCTGTTAAGCCATGGTACTGGTGAAGAATGTGCACAGGGCATTTCAGGGGGAAATATAGCATTTCTAGGGGAAGAATTTTTATACCTATTTTGGACGGGTAGGGGAAACAACCTTTATTTAGGTGTAAAATATAGTTAAAAATTCACTGTAAAAAGTTCCATTATTAAATCTCTGATGAAGTTTGTATGTAAAGGCTTTTAAATTACGATTTAAATTCCTCTATATTTTAGGAAACTATTTATGATCTAAGAAAATCAGCACATGCTTAAGTTTTATTAACATATTTTGTTTGTTTGTTGAGGTATATACCTCAGTTGATGATGCAAGTGGTTAATTACACAAAGCATGGCAGGTGCCAACTTGCCACACCTACAGAAAATACGCTACATACATTCCATTTTCTAACTACTTAGGTTGGTATTTTGGGAGTCATTTTGTTTTGAGGAATTGGTTAATTAATTCTATATTTATCAAGTTTGAGCATTGAGAAGATTGAAAGTTTGCTGAAATGAGATAAATTAAAGTATTTAATTTTAATGTAGACATATTTATGTATTTATAATTAATGTTTTATACTAGGATTTGAAGGGTCCTGTGAAGCATGTATTGTACTTTATACTAGGTTTTTGTGAAATTTCATAGAATTTTAAATTTTAATCCATTACATTACTTTATTATTGTATTCCCTTAAAGAATTAATCCACAGTAGGGAATGATGTGACCAAAATGTTAAGAGTCGTTGATTTCATATAACATGCCCTTTCAATACTGAAGGTTTCAATCCTGTTTGGTAATGCAGGGCATTTTTTCTTTTACATGTATTGCAGGGGTCCTTTAAAGGGCGCTTCCTCTTTCTAAAGTTCTGTAAAATCATGCAGTTTTCCCCTAAAATTCAATTAAAATCAAGATTTTAACTCAATATTGTAAAAATACCATGTTATTTCCTCCTAAGTTTAAGGTTAGGGCCTCTTTTCCTTAGTAACCTAAAAATGCCCTGAATTGAATTATCCAATTAGATTACAGAAGGTCCATGGTTCCACCCAGGTGCTTATTTGTACCTGAAATAATCCAAGAAGGGGCACCAGAGGTCTTCCTTGATCATGAGTAAAGCTAAAAAATTGTCATTGGATCTTTACAGTATTCAAACAGTGACGTATTCTCTAAAAGCAGATTTTACAATTCTTAACCAAGTATTTAAAATGTCACAGGGTGAGAAAAATATGCAGCCTGACTGCATGGGACTCAAACCCTGCCAGGACTCTCGAAATACCATTTCGCAGCTCTACTGACTGAGCAATACGGCTGCTTACAGTCATCATCTCCCCTAAATGGTGAACAGTTTTGAACTGTGGCAATTTATACAGTGTCTATTCTAGGAATTGAAAAATAGGGGTGATTTTCCCCCCTCTATTTCAAAAAAGGGGGCGATTTTCAAAATCAAAGGGTGCCAATATAAACTGCCAATGTTAAATCGTCTGCATTAAGTTTACACTGAGGCGTTCAACCGATGAAATAATTAAAACGATAATATTTATTTAAGGCAGCAGAAGTTGTCCCCCCTGAATTTTTAAACGAAAACAAATTATTACAGAACTGCCGCGATTGATTATAAAGGGATTGGCAATACAAATAATCGAACTATCTTTCACGTCTAGATCGTAGCCAAGCTAGGAATTGCCTCATTTTTCTTGATTATTTACTACACTAAAATGGCGCCCAACTGTCAGACCTAGCACACTAGTTCCGGTCGATACGGAACATTCCGTTAATTTCCGTCAACTCACGTAACCAGTACCATACGGTACTAAATTATTATAATTAGCTTACAGTTACCTCCCTTCGGTTTTCGGTGTAAATGTAAACAAAACAACCAAATATAATGCGGGATGGAAGTTTTACGGTTTTATTAACTTTTTTTATAGATGCGCGATTTTTACGCACATGATTTTGAATTGTGCGCAATCTGTTAAATACTAGCGTGAATCGCGCAATCGCGCGTCCTAGAATAAACACTGATTTATATAGTAATTTCTTCCTTAAAAGTTTAATTAACTGAAATTTTTTTGGTATTGACACATCAGATAATTGTTTTCTTACAACTTTAGTCTGCTGAAATATGTATCTTCTTTGTCTCAGTATTGTCTATTTTGAAGTATCGATTCAGTATCGTCTATTTTGAAGTATCGATTCAGAATTATTGGGCATTTTTATTTATCGGATTTGCCAGACTCTCAGATCATGAAAATAAACATTTCAACATTTCTCAAAGATTTAATTAAATATCTTACATTAAATTCATATGCATATTGCAATTAACACTTTAGAGGCGGAGAACTGGATAACCTATATTAATAAATTCAAAGATTATTGGTTAATTATAAAGATTATATGTTTATTCAGTATATAAGGTTTAGTTGTATGCGTTAATATACAAGTTATACAAGAGTCATATAACAGTGCAGGTTTATATAGCAAAAATTGCTTCTATTTACCTGTGACCATATATCAGCAGTCTTGTCCCTTGTGGTTGAGGGACGTGCCCGGTTAAGGCATATTTCATTGCAATCACCGTTTAACCCTGCATGATCATAAGAGGGTCACTAAATGGGTTTGATTTACTGGAGTAATAAATGCATCTCTTATCTCCAGCATTACTTTGGTGAGGTGGTTAAATTGACCTCTGGTGTAATGCTTTAAGTTTGTAACACCCGAGGTCCTGTTTTGGCATCGTATGACTTTAATTGTGTTGGCGCACCGTAAAACCAAACAAAACAAAACAAACAAACATATATCAACAGTGACTTTTACATTAAACTTTATTATACTGCACAATAATTGCTTTCTTTGATTAAAAACCAAAATACTTCACAAATACATAGCAGCCTTTTATGCAGACATTTATCATATAAACAATACATATGTCTGATTATCCAATCAAAATTAATGTTACAACCATGTAGTATAATGATAAGTTATAAGTAATTATAATAAAAGAGTTTCATGTCACATATTTGCCGTAAACATTTAGATGTAAGTAGGTGTTTTATCCTTTTACATCTTTTAAATCTTCTGTAATGGCTTTGTTGTTTTGAATTTAGAATTGCTATTATTGATTTGAGAGACTTCAAGAGATGGAAATTTGTTCTAGACAGTTGCAATAGCCTTATGTTGTTCAAATACTGATGATTCCAGACTAATTCCACTCTTATAGATATACACAATATATCTATTGCAACCTATTGAGAAGTTAAGTGTAATATTATTTTGTCAGGGCATCCTTTATTGACGTAAATAATGTTTTACATGTCAAAAATTTATGATTTTAAAAATGTCTCCCTTAATGCATGTGTAATTCTTAGGACTAAAATTAATATTGACATTTTTTTAAAAATTACTTTTCATCGAAGAGTTTTAAAAAAATATCACCATTAAAAATTAAGAAAATATTTCCAGTTTTATTTTGCTTCTTTGATATTTAAAATAGTTTCTTAATTATCGTTAGTCGCCATATATTTTTAGCGTGGGAGTTAATACCTTGATGTTCGTTTTTTTACCTGCGTTATTTGATTATTTACCCAGAATTCAATGCAGTCAGCAACAGCTGGTGGTTAAATCATCATCATTGTATAGCAGCTTGTTTGCGTCATACCTTACTATCATTCAAATAGTAGTCTAAGTTATACGTACAAACTAATACAGTTGGCAAGGTGATTTTTTTTTATTTTTCTCAAAAAAAAATAATCATAGGGTACCTATTTATGTTGTTTTCTGAAAAAATTCCAGAAATATTTTGTTCTGCTGGGAAAGAATGTTCCTCTTCCTCAATAATAGAATCATAAAAGTGTTTTAAGAAACATTGAATTTTTAAGTTTAAACATATTGATTTAAGCTCGATTTGTTAAATTAGTTCATGATATCAATTTTGAGTGCATTGTTGTACAGTAATGCACAGTCTTAGTTCAAATGCTCAGGAAAATTATCACGAAGGCTGTGAGTGATTGATTATAAAGCATTTGAACTATAAACTGTGCATTAATTTATTCTAATTTTCATTGGTCAGAACCTGACACAGAATGTGCAGCTGACCAATGAAAATCCGGAGATTTGAGACGGAGCGGAGAAGAATGCTTAAAAAAAAATAAATTCTGAGTTCTGTCTCAAATCTCAGGATTTTCATTGGTCAGTGAACATTCTGATGCAGATTATGATCAACAGAATCCCTTAGATCTGAGTTTGAGCTTAGGGAATTTCTTTATAACCTCGACCCGGGTCTCGTGT